AACCCTAGTAAGAGGCTCAAGAACTAGGACTGGTCACTCAAGCCTGGATGGTGTCTGGCTCGATGAGCAAGTTCCACCTGGTAAGAGGCTCTTTAAGGCTTACACCTAAAGAGGCTCACAAGCTTGGTCTGGTCACTCAAGCCTGGATGGTTTGAGGCTCAAGTCCACCTGCTTGTTCATGTTGATTAGACCAGAGCAAGAATTGGCTACTCAATCCTGGGAGGTGTCAGGTTCATGTCTACCTGCTTCTTTTGTTGCTAGAGCCGGAACTAGAATTGGTCACTCAAGCCTGTTTGGTTAGATGCTCACGTTCACTTGCTGGTTCTTGTTGCTGAGACCAAAGCAAGGATTGGTTACTCCAGTCTGGGTGGTTTGAAGCCACAGTTACTCTAGCCTAGTTTGAGGCTGAAGAGCTATACTCAAGCCTGGATGGTTTGAAGCTCAAGTCCATCAACTGGTTCATGCTGACAAGCTCAGACTAAGGATTGGTCACTCAATCCTGGCAGGTTTGAGGCCCAAGTCCAGCCACCGGCTGGTTCATATTTCTGAGAGAAGACCCAGGTTAGTCACTTAAGCCTGAACGGTCTGGGGATGAAGTCCAGCCGTTTCTGAAATTAGAGCTAGAGTTGGTCACTCAATCCTGGACGGTTTGCAGCTCAAGTCTACCTGCTTGTTCATTTTGCTCTGACTGAAGCAAGGATTGGTCACTCAATCCTGGATGGTTTGAGGCTCAAGTCCACCCGCTGGTTCATGTTGCTGAGACTAAAGCTAGGGTTGGTCACTTGAATAGTGCCCCAGCTTCTGACTTGTCAGCAGGTATAAATGAAGTCAAGAAATGAATCAGAACTTGAACAGTTCAGTGTTCGTGCTCACATGATAAGCCAAGAGAAAACAAGTTCTAGCTAGGGTCCAATAATCACATGACTACTATGCACAAAATTTGCCAAGCATATCAGTTATTAAACTCAGTATTGTTTGAGGCTCAAATTCACTCAAGTCTTGTAAGCGACTAAAGAGCTTGGACTGGTCACTCAAGTCTGAATTGTGTGAGGCTGAAATCCAGCCATTACTGAGATTAGAGCTATGATGGTTATACTCTCATGTCAATCAACTGGTTTAAGTTGCTCAGACTAACACATAGGCCTTTAACCACTTGCTGCCGGAAACCCTGTTTCAAGCACCATGGGTTTATATGCAGAGAAGGAGTGCCGAAAATGGGACAAAAGAGCTGATCGGTGTAACAAAAGACCGTACTCAGAACAAAAGACCTGCTGCTGGGAACGGCCATCATTTTTCGGCTTGCAATTTTGAAGGTAATCAGTCACTGTTTTGAAACAGTATACCACTGTTTTGGGGCATAGCGCACCCGCGGATTATCAGCGGGGACAAAAGTGCTCCAGGGCCCCACTGATAAGCAACACAGCACCGCTGCATGCTAATCCAGCCTCGTTTGAAAAGATGCCACTCGCATTCACTGAGAACAAAGGAAATTACACAACACCTCACAAATTCTGGGCTCTCTTTACAGGGCGGCAGGCCTGGCTGAAATATTCAGGAGTCAATGAAGGTCACCTGTCAGCTTAGAGTAGCCACCAAACAGTCATTCGTGTGGGTGTAAACGTCCATTAAATGAAATGATGAATTTTTGAAGAATTTTGAACACTGAAAAACTTGAAAATCGCCCTTAAGTATGGACTGCATTTTTTAAAAGCACCCGGCAGCATGTGGTTAAGGTTCAACGCTCACGTCCACCCACTGGTTCACATTGGATTCATGAACAATATTGCCTCAATCCAAGCTTGTATTGAAAGTGAAATGGATGGGGCTTTTTACTGCAATACTAACAGAAATGTAACATACAGTGTACATGTACAATGTAGATGATCACTCTTCTATTCAGAGATTCATGATAACTTGAAATAAAAAACAGAACGTCAAAAAGCAACAACAGTGAACCCTGGTTCAGGAAGACGAATGAGGAATACAACACTTTGCTGTAAGGCGTGAGGTCAAAATACAGACGGTTTAGAAACAGTTCAACGGTTGGTGTTAATCCCCCTTCATTCCGTTCGTCTTTTGGTGTTGGACAGTTCAACGGTTTGAAAAGAACCGTCTGTCCTGGACTGTCTAGCTTCACGAGCAACCCTGACAACAATGGAGTTTGTGGCTGCACAGCCGTAGTTGTGAACAAAAGATCCTATTCAGGGAGAACTTCACTGGCCCCGGTCAGCCTTCCTGGGCTGGCCGTGAGGATTAGACATTTATTTAGCTTCAGATACGTTTTGAGTGGGTATTTTATGACACCATGAAGCATCGCCTCAAGAAAATTGTTCGTGTTTAAGCGTTTTTTAGACTGGAAAATAAATGCGTTTATATGGGAGTGACGGGAAATGCCAACCATGGTTGCCTCATTTTAACACCTAATCTATCGTCTATGAAAGGAAATATTCACATACACGCAATATGAATTTATTTGGAACTTCTGTCACGTGTACCATATTCTTTGAAGGTAATAAAAATAAATGTCCAACTCCGCATCAAATAGTGCTGCAAGTATGTGTTCGGTTCAGACAGGGCTTGGACATTTTTTGCCGAACTTCGGATCGGTTGGGGTTCAGACATGTACACACATGTACAAGTACAATGCACATTGAGACATCGAAAGGCCTATAAATTTTTTCTACGTATAAAATTATGAATCTGCTATCTCTTTTGATCTGCAAGCAACTTTGATTTGAATACCTTTTTTATAAACTTTTTCCCCCAGAGTTTGTTTATGAGTACATTCCGTATAAAGTTATCGTCGAGGGTGTGTTAGTTTCCGACCGTGTTTTGCCGACCAGAAGCGGTTGTGTTCGGACCACGCTTGACTCAACAAAACCATCGTAAGATTTGTGCAAATAGAAAAAAACACCATGCTCAATTAGGACTTTCCTCCAGTACAAAATACAAGATTAAAATCAAATTTCGAGCAAATTGTATTTGGTTATTTTTGCAAAATAGATGGCTTTTGAAAACTATGAAAATGGCTTTCGTTGCATATCTGAGGGGGAACCTTTCCAGGGACGGCGTGCACGTGACCAAAGGAGTGGTTTTCCATCAGCCTCTTTTGAATGGAAAACAGCATTTTGTTATTTCAGATCTGGAAAATTCCATTACAACACATTCGCATTACGATCAAACCCTTCATGGTCAAATGAAAGGCAAGTTAGGCCACCGCGCGAACAAAAATCTCCTCGCACGCTGCGCTAAAGCACAGCATAAGCGAACCGCTTGGCAAAAATTTCATGCGGGGATGCCTTGGATCGAGCACGACTGTGATCAGCATCCCACCAAAATTCGTTTTGCACTCCATTTATGAAAACATAGGCCTAATATGGAACGTCATTACCTTAATATGGAACGTAAGGGCGTGACTATCGGAGATTGGCAAATAAACTAATAAATCTGAATATATATGGGCACGATTGGATGAAGTGAGAATTTAAAAAATGTTATGCAGCGACAATGCCGTACGTTGCATGTTCTTGGTTGATTTCTGAGTGATTCTCACCATATGCTTTTTACAACCATCTCATGATGCCGGCCATTGTAAGTTTCAGTATGTTTACGCACGTGTGGAGCACGCCGTACGCCTCACTATCCATTTTTCGTTGTGTTTGTTTTTTATTAAGTTTTCTTGCATTTTTGTACGTTTTCCCGCGTGCCATCAATAAAATGCCTTATTACAGCCGTACATCTGAACCGAACAGTTTGTTTCGGTTCAAAAGTGCCTTGTTTGACAATTTTTGCCTCGGTTCGGTGGTTCACCAGCAGCACTAGATTAAATTGTGTTTATTGTTTTAATTTACTGTGCATTTAAGTTTAATAGGTAAAGTCAAACACCAGAGATAAGTATAAAACCCAACATGTTTGTTTTTCCAACAAGAATTTTGTGCAGCCACAAAGTATTCAAAGAGTAAAAAAGAATCGTACGTACAAAACATATTGCAACGTGCACGCATGTACTATTGACTTCAAGAAAAAACATGTACTTGTATCCTTAAATCGTGCAGTGCAGCTTCCAAGTAGAAAGCGCGTAGTTCGCGTACGTGTTTTCCTCGATCCTACACATGAAAACCTGCAAGTGTGCAATGCTGAGTCCCAGCTTATGCACACGGGCAAAAAAAGTGGTTTTATCTGTAACTACATGTTGGCGAACAGAATACTATGTCGTGTATGATTCAGGTAAATACTATTTCGAGGTAGCATATTTGATTCTGCAGATATGAAGTTAGGTGTGTGTTTAACTCACGATACCCAGACAAAATATTAAGATTACAGGGTATTGAGACTGAAAAGACTGGGTCTGGAAACCGACAGCGCAACACAACTACTCAATACACGTGTTTTTATCAGGAAATTGAAACAGTCTGCCGATCTAAATCCTCCTGTGGAGCTGCAAAGTAAAGAGCTATTGTTATGACTAATCCACCAGACCGCGGAAGTCTATGATGCAGTAATGCGATGAGCGGTCCATTGTTTGCTGGAAGCTGCACAGTGCAAGGTGTACTCGACCGCAACGGTTTGGCCAGCCTTGCTGAAGCGTTCGTCTGTTCAATGTTCGATGTTGACCGTCCGTGAGGCTTACCATTTACAAAGCATTGAACGCTTTCAAAAGCGTTTGTATTTTGACCTCACGCCTAAAACAACCGGATAAAATGTGCCAGTAATATTGAAATACAACTTCAGCAGTGAAAGATTGAGCTTGTTTTCTTCTTTGACTGAAACATGTCAGTATCTCTCTGGTTTTGAATTCAATGAGGTCAAAATGTTTTAATGTTGCCAACCTTTCTTACACTCTCAAATAAACCAGTTTAAGATCTGAAATGCATACCTAACTTCCTAATGGTTTAAAGATAGGCTAAGGTGGGTACACTTAGGACAAGGTGGAGTGAGGACTTTGGTTAATGATAGTTTAATTAACATCACCTGAACGATGGATGGTTCGGAACATCTAGTCGATGGACTGATCTGCGTATGAAATCCAAGACTTCGATGCCCCTTCCAAAAGTTTTCCATAACCCTGAATAGGAAAAGAAAACATCAGGATATAATATTTTTACTAGTGACAGCAATAGGATAAACAGATTTTTATATAGGATCAATCAACTGATAGCAGAGCAGGATGGAACAATCGCACAGATCCATCAAACACACCAAAGACAATGTCTGTCCATGTACAAGATGTTGGTGCAATCTGAAGAGGCCTCCAAAAAATAAAATCATAAAACATGAGGCAGTGCAGTGGTTGACATCCAAGAATCGGATATTCCCTGACCCAAGACTCATTTTTGCTCTTAGTCCTTAGTAGAGTGCGTGAGAAGAGAGCAAGCTAGGGTTGGTGCAGACGTGGTCTTTTGATAACCCAAAGGCCACGTCATCTACTTCAGGTGAATGCAATAGCAAAGTAAATTAGTTACCGAGAACAGAGGCATTACTACAACCCCCCCCCAAGTTATCGAGAAAGGAGAAAAAAAAGGGTGCATAATAGTCCATCTTAGATTTGGTCAGTGCTCACTATGACAAAACCCCGCTGAATGTTCTCCTCTGGAAAATGAGGGCATCCAAAGTGCCCCCCCCCGCAAAGTTAACCCCACCTACACCAGTAAGTAAACATGAAAATTCTCACCCTAGCTGTTACCCTCAACTTGCAGAGTGCATTTCAGTGATGCGTTGTGATTCCAACAGGTGCCGTATGGTGTCAGCGTCAGGACATTCACGAGTACTGCAGGCAGAGAGGTAGACAAGTCAGGATACTCAATCGTGTCACACCACAGTCGGGCATCGGTGCTGTGAATGTAACAAAAAATTCAACATGTGGCCATTAACGTTTACTGAACAGAATGATCAAACACATCAGCATTCAATCCAAAGACCACTGTGTCGACTGTGAAGTTCGGAGGTGGCAGCATTATGCTGTGGGGTTGTTTCTCTGAAAGTGGGTCTGGCAATCTCGTAAAAGAGGAATTATGAAGAAGGCGCAGTACATCAAGATTCTGCAGGAAAATCTCCATCTCGGCCCCAACTGGGCATACCAATAGGACAAGGATAACAGTGTGGATGTGCTACCCTGATCAAGCCAAAGCCCAGACCCGAATCCCATTGAAAACCTGTGGAAAACCCTCAACACCAAGGTGCAACCCCGCAGGCCCTCCAACCCGAAAGAGCTAGAGGTCTTCCCCAAGGAAGAGTGGGCCCAGATTCCTGTGGAACAGTGCCAAACACTTGTGAACAGCTACACAAACTGCCTAGATGCTGTAATCAAGAACAACTGCTTTGCGATTGAATATTAACGGTGATATTAACTCTTATTGATAAAGGGTATATATGAATAATTCTGAGCATGTCAGAATTTAATTAATGTAGTATTTTCTTTGTTATGCAAATGAGGTGGAACCAAAGCCTTTAGTCATTAAAACCTGACAGCTAAAAGTTTTTAACTATGCCCCAAATATTATGTACCGACCTTTCATTCTTTAGAAAAACACAAAACCAAAAATTTATAAGGAGTACGAATAATTTTGTTGTTAACTGTAAACATCTTGGAGTGTTTGTGTAAGTTTGTCACAAAGGATGGTAATACGTCCCATGGTTTGCTTTGGGGATGGTCTCTCTGTTGAACAAATGACAAGGTGAAGAAATTCCTTACGTTAGATTTGAAGATTTGAAACAGTGCCCTCAAGAATTCCAGAGATGGCGCTGCCTTCTTTTGCAAAACTGTTTCTTCAAGGGTTCCCAGAAAATGACAGGGATACGCTGTTTCAACTTTTGGCGGATTTCAACCACAGATATAGTGGACGTTCTTTGGCCTGACATTCCAACTGAAGGGGTAACCATTGTCTGCGGCCAAAAAGAAGACACCGAATTGCACAATTAGAAGCATGGTTGGTACATGAACTACGTGTAGCACTACACTTGCATCAGTGAAGATGCAGAACAATGGTGGTGCTCTACAAATTCCCACATATATGTACATACTGCACCTGCCGCTAGAGGACTGGTGAGGAGAAAGATGTGATTTAGTGCAGGGCTTCCCCTGCCCATTCAAATGTAAACCATCCAATCTCATTCGTCTTTTAATGACCATGCACTTACCAGCATACATGTAAGCAGTTAATTTTTTGGCCAATGCTGCCACCTCACGTGAAAAAAATTAACAAAAATTTGGGAAGGAAAATGAATAACCCCAGTCTGAGGCATATATGGAATGACTTCACACTGTCCTGAGCGGCAAAGAAGGTCACAAAATGAAAGATTTGAGAAAAATGAAATTAGACTGAATGTTCAAAGACCGATAAAAAGAATTCCAGTCTCTTTGAAAATAGAAATTTAACTTTTTTTTTCAGAGATATGTAATACAAAACTGCCGGAAACTGCTTGCTGACTATAGGGACCAAAAATACAAATCACAAAATATGGAGGGCCTGACGTTTTGATTCTAGCAGAATCTTTCTCAAAGGCAAAAGAGTCTGCTAGGATTGAAGCGTCAGGCACTCCATATTTTGTAATTGCTTTTTTTTTCACACGTTAAAACGATATTGGGCCAGAAATAAAGGAAAGACAAGCTTGCCTGCGGCTTGGCGTGAACTGACTTGGATGGAGGTCCTTGATGTCGGAGAGGTTAACATCCTGGTGGTCAGAACAGCGAAGGGTGGTTGTTGGAGAGATGAATTGGATCGGCTCCATCAAGGTAGACCCATGGGACATTTTGTACTCTGTCATCAACAAAGCTCAGGAAATATGAGGTGAAAGTTAAGAGTTGAAGACAATGTAACTTTCGGATGTTCCACCCGCTTCCTAACTCAAGTGAAACCATGAAAGAAGTTTTTGGAACTTTTAACCATATGCTACCAGGTTTAATTTGAAGTTGCATAATACCCAGGGGGGGATTTCAAGTCTAAAATTCTACATATTTCCATCTTATGACAACATTTGCTGCATGAAGCACACGTGTATCATGAAAGTTTTAACACCAAAACATGCACGGTTACATTGCAGCATGGTTGTAGACATTGATCAACAGCCCTGTGCGTCCTGCAAAAACACATGAATGACCGTGGAGTAGTTGGTTCCCGACTTATGTACAATATTCCTATTCATACAACCACTGCAATCGGGAACCACTGACTGACATGACAGACTTGAATTCAAGGCTGTGTGATGAATGTGCTAAACGCCCACAAAAGGTGCACAGGGCGATGCAGTGAAGCAAGCACAAATCGATTCACACACCCACAGAAGGTGTGTGTTCAGACAGTTCACTGTGCCGTGCAGTACTTGGTACGCGTGGTGCTGCTGGATCTGGTCATTTTGACGATCATACAAAAGCATGCAGCCTTGTTTTTAAGGCTACTACGGGAAAGGAGCTGTACACACGCATCCTTTGCGTGACCGTCATTGAAGTGGAATTTACAGAGGTGAAAATCAA